CAAACTGAAAGCCCTTTGAGCTTGAGGACAGCTGCGCTCCAAGGACCACATTCCGTTGGGAGCCTGGAGGCTGTACTGTCTCACTTCCCTATGAGAGTTTTCGCACTTGATTCTTGCCGCCCTCACCAAGCCCAGCCCCAAGGTTGTCACTGTTGCTCCCGGCTCTGCTTAGGTACAAGGAGAACACAAGTCCCCCTCCTTCAAGTCCTCTGAGCACAACCAGGGCAGGGCAGCATTCTCTAAAAGCTGTCCTACAGAGTGAGGGTGAATGGGAAAGATATAACCACAGGACAAGCAGCTCCTTGGTGTGGCAGGCCGGGCCTGACACTCTCTGCCGTTAGACTCACCACACCCTCCTTCTCTCACTTAACACTCCTCCAATCATGCTACACTGCTTGGGGTTCTCTGTGTGGTTCCATGCAGCCAGGCCTCTATCCCTGCTGTGTCCCCTGCCTGGAATGCCCTCCCTTCCTTTTTCTGTGCCTCGCCATCTCTTACTCATCCTTTGCCCCTCCACTCAGGCAGCCTTTCCCAGGAAGGCTTCAGGAAACATCACGCTGAGCAAAGAACCCTCATCATGTGTCTCATATCTCATCACCAAACCCCAAGTAAGCGTGACCTTGAAGGGTCAAATCTTCCTGCTTGGTGTTTGTGCCCCTAGGGTTGGCCAAGTCCTGGTACAAAGTAAATGCTTAGTCAATCCTTGCTGAACAGAGATGGGCTAAAAAGAATCAAGGTCCCAGAGACCAGATTTCTGTCCAAAGATTTAAAGGAGAAAAGAAAGACTTTTCTGAGCCTCCAACTCTTTCATCCTGAAATTACCTCAACCCAGCTCCAAAGGGCTGAGACTCCTTTACACAGATACCTTTCGTGGCTCCCTTCTTCCACCCCCTTCCCTATCTCATAGCCAAATGGCCCCTTGCAGCCCCCTTATCTGTCAAGTGCATCTTGAACCATTCCTGGACCAACTACAAAGACCAAAGTTCAAACCCAAGACCCCTTGTATCCATCTTACTTCTGGCTTCCAATCTGAGGGATGAGTCTTCACAACTGACAGGAAAGGCAAGAAGGATGAAAGATCCCGCAGGCCTGGGTTGATGGTCCTGGCCCCTCTGGAGCCTCTACTAATTGCCTCTCTAAGGTGAGCCGTAATTCCTGGAAGGGAAATTGCTTTATCACAGTCCAACATCACAGTATTTTAACCATAGGGTGTCAGGCTATGGCTCAAAGCATGCTGGGAACTCAGCCACAGGAGCTGGTGAGGAAGGGAAGGAAGCTTGAGAAACATGGAATGAAGGCTGGGAAACCAGACCTTTCCCAGGTGCTGGCCCCAAAGCACAGCATCAATAAGACACACCAGCTGAAGCTTAGCTCAAGCCTTAATCTGCACCTGGAGTACCTGACCCAAAGGGTAATGGTCAGACACTTGAAAGCAAAGCAGGCAACTTGAGTGGTTCTAGTTGCATGCCTGGCTGGACTGGAACAGGAGCAAGGGTCCAGGATCTTTGGCTAGAAGTTAAGGAAGGTGCCAAAGCGTTGGATTAGAATATCAGGAAAAACAAGTGAGAGAATCATGAGAAACCGAGGGATAGATTGGCAAAAGAGGCAGCGTGAGGGAGGGGATGAAGAGATTGACGTAGAAGAGGGGAAAATGTTACGACCAAAGTGCTGCAGAAGCACTGGGGGCCCAGATGGGGTCAGAGACGAGACTGAGGGGGAGGGAAACCATGAGAGCTGGCACCTTGGCTATGCTAAGAGCCAGACACAACCATCCTAAGGCCCAGCAGGGAGTGCTGCTCCTGAGGAATGGATGGGCTCAGGTTGAGGGAATAGGGAGTAAAAAAGGAGAAAAGGCAAGTGTGTTCAATAACAGGTACATGCATACAGTGTTAGAAGCTTCCTATGTGGAGACTAGGAGGTGGCACGCATTGTTATTTTGTGTGTGTGTGTGTGTGTGTGTGTGTGTGTGTAACATATAAAAGTAGAAAAAATAATTTAATGGACCATCATGTATACTGCTCCCAACTTCAGCAAGTATCAATTGATGGTCCATCTTGTTTCCCCCACACCTCCACCCATTGCCCTTTGCCCTGGATTTTTAAAAGCAAATCCCAGATACTGTATCACCTTGTAAAAGTTTCAGTACGTAAATCTAAGAGATAAAGACTTTCCTTTTTAAACTTGACCCCAATGACATCATCAGATCCCCAAATTCCTTAACAGAAGTTACTTAAATTTATCAAATATCCAATTGGGATTCACATTTCCTAGACGGTCCTCTGAATGGTCTTCTTGCCTTTTATTTTTCCAGTTGGTTTAATCTGGATCTAAACAATGGCCATACATCGTCATTAGTTAAAACATCCCCCAAGTCTCTTTTAATTTACAGGTTTCCCCTCCCTATCTTTTTTCTTATAATCTTTTTGCTGCTGTTGCTACTGTTGTTTTTGTTGTTGATGTTAAAACCCTAGGTCGTGTGTCTGAAGATGTTCCCATTCTTGGTTTTGCTGATGGCACCCCTGTGGTGTCATTTGACTTGTTTCCTCTATTTCTTATAAATCGATAGTCAGATTCATGTGAACTTTTCTGGCACAACTCTTTCACAGGTGACAGTGTGTTCTTCACTGAGAGGAGGCTGATGTCTGACTGTCAGCCTTCCAAACATTGTTTTGTGATGTTCGGAAAACTGTGAGGTCCTAAATTCTATCATTCCTTCTGCGCTTAGAAGCCAGAATACTTCTATAAAGAGAAGCCTCCTTTATCAGTTATGTGATTACCCTGATGTATGGTTCAGGTAGAAGAGACAGAATATGTGCTTGATTCTTTCCCTTTATTTACCAGTTTTTGAAATAATAAGTTTGTCCCCTAGAACCTTCTAAGGGCAGTCAATGCGGCATTATTTCTATTTCGTATTACTGTAAATTCATGAACATAAATATATTTGATGTGTTTCAAGAATAGGATATTTATAAGATTTTTAGGGTCTGGTATAAGATGGGTCTTTCAATGAAAGGAGGCTGATTAGATTGGGCAAGTTTGTCATTCAACCGTTGAGGATTGGTGGTCACAGGAAGGGGCAGGTTTGAAGTGAGCCTTGAAGGGCAGAGTCATCGGATCACCCAGTTGACCTATGGTTCTGAGGAGAAGCTGTAATTCTGATGAGAATTAGTTGGGTAGTCAGTCTATTGCTCCAATGAATGGATTTTTAAGAAATTCCTAAAACAATGAAGATATTTGGCTTGAGACTTGCCCTTTCAATCTGAGGTTTATGTCTTTCTTTCAACCTTGAAATTTATCTCCACAGTGTCTTCAAATATTTCCTCCTCTCCATTTTTATATCATTCCCTTTCTGTTCTAGTTCTATTCTTGATATTAATTAGAAAATTGTAAAATAAGCTGCCTTATTTGTTTTAACCTTTTCCTGTTGCTTCTGGAGAGCTGCTGAAACTACTCTTTCCAAGCACTGATTGCTCTTCAGCTGCAACTATTCTATTTATCCCATGTTATTAATAAATAGCATCAATGAATATTCATTCCAGTTATCATTTTTTTCATGTTTAATATTTCTATTCATTTTAGTTTTATGATTTTTTTTTTCCTGATTCATATTGCTATTGTCATTCCTCACCTTCTTGAATAGATTTATCACGCTTATTTAAAAATCTTGGTCCATCCGTTCTAACAATTCAGTTTCAGATGGTATGCATTGTTCAATTGTGGTTGTTTTATAGTAGTTGTACTCCTCACAGGTCTAGTTATTTGGCCTGTGAATCCGTGTTTGCTTGGAGTTTCAGCTACTCTGATAAATCTGCATCCAGAAGACCCAGTGAGTTAGGGGTGGGAGGGCGGTGATGAGCCCAGAACTTAAGTCTCAGGCACCGGAGAACCACCGTCTGTCCGTCCCGCTCTCTGACACTACATCAGATCATTCCTCAGCCAGGTTTCTCCCCTCAGGGAGAATCAGTGCTGAAAAGAAACAGTAACCTAGCCGCCCTGGGGGTGTGGATGGGAGGAGTAGAGAGTGAAAGGGGGTAGGGGGCCCATTTTCAGTTGTTTTAATGTCTCACCCCGATAGCGCTTTTGCACCGGTCAGCTATTACCCGAAGGACTCCTCCACCAGTGGCTTCTGCAGTGGTTATCATTTCAACTGTAAACAGCCTGACAATGACTGTCCCATTATTGGGACAGAGAGGTGAGAACAGAACCTGAAATTCCTTGGTCCCAACTAACTTTTTGGTCTCTCCTCCCGCCACCCTCTGCCCACATGCTCACAGATTATGGCAGTCCTCAGACTCCCCATGCTTTTTATTCTTGTTTTACTTCCTGGAACCTGTGGTTCCTCCAGCTGCTTTAGTTTCTCCAGGTCACGCGTTACGGGAGAGAGCCAGCAGCCCCTGGCCGCCATCCTGATGGAAAGAGGACCACCGCGAAAACTCCTCGAGTGTCGTGGCGGGGTTCAACTCCTAGCTCTACAGTTTTCTCGCTGTGTGTCCCCAAGCAAGTTACATGGCTGCTGTACGTGCCTCAGTTTCCCTCATATGTAGACTGGGGATAACGGTAGTTTCTGCCTTTTTGATTGTTTAATAATGTCTTAAATCAGTTAAAACAGAATCAGGGGCAGGGTAAGGGCACTCACCTGTTAGCTATGTAGATGTAATTCAGCACCCCACCCTGGCCCGCCCTCTGGAAGGGTTTGTTGAGACTTTCGGCTTCCTGCTCACTGCGGTGGCCGCCGGCTCATTACGCCCCAGAGAGGACGCGCCAGCGGGGACCTCGCGCTTCAGCGGGCGACACGGGCTTCCCGGGCGCCGCACCGCGCGGAGGTTGAGGCGGGCGGCCCGGGTGCTCGCGGGGGCCGGGGGTCCCTCGGGGCAGCGCCCGGGGCGAAGTCCGTGGCGCTCGAAGGCGGCCGCGGGGCGGCGCTGCGCCCCTTCCCCCCGCTTGACTGCCGGGCCCCGGGCCGGCCCGCCGTGGGCTCTGCGTGGGCTGCCGGTGCGCGGCCCCTGGGGCGGAGCGCAGGATGCAGTGCCTCCGCGCCGAGCACCTGGTAAGGCCTGCACCCGGCCCCGGGGGAGGGACCGCGGGGGAAGGCTCGGGCCCCTCCAAGCACCTGCCCGCCCGGACGCTTCCGCCTCCCCGGATCCCCTCGGATCAATACCCACCGCCCCCCCTCCCCCCGGCGCCGCCGCGTCCTGGGGGCACCTGGCGGGGAGGACCTCGGACCCCACTCCTGGGGCGGAAGCGCGGGAGATGCTGGCCGCCCAGCACAAACTTGGGGCCGCCTCTAGGGGCACCTCCAGGTAAGGACTCGGCGACTGGGACCTTAACATCCGCTCTGCACAGGACAGGTGTTTCAAAGGCTCCATGAGAGCTTCAAGCGGCCGCGTTTTAAAAAAAAAAAATGGAATGGGTTATTCTGAGCAGTCTTCAAGTAAGTTTCGATTCATTCTCCAGGTTGGGACCTATATGATTATCCTCTTTTCCTCAATACTCTTCCTTCTTTTTCTGGAAGGTTTCCACGGAGACAACCCCCAGGCAAAGACAGTGGCGACCTCAGATTTATAGGAAATGCACAGATAAGGCCTGGTTGTTCCTGTTCTTTCTATTTTGGGCTGGTTTGGTAAGTGTGAGCGCCTGGCAGGGAAGAGACCAAAGTATGTGTGTGTGTCCTGAGATAGCTGTGCCCCAAATGTAAATAGCGTCCCCAGGACCTTTCCTGGGGAGAAGGCTCCGGGTGGTACGAGGTTAAAGTTTGTGCTTCAGGGAGCGATCTATCTGCCAGTACCGCAGGGTAAACAGCAGTTCTCAGAAATTCCTGTCAGGTGTCTCAACCTCCTAGGCTCGGTAAATTGGAGAGGCTGGCTTATTGCCGTCAGTCACGTTCTAATGCGAGACTCCATTAGGAAATGAGAACCACCGTTTGCAGTGGCATTGTTATTTAATAGGCCAATATGTGGTCTTTTATTATCCCAGCTCACTGAGGGGAAGTTCTTTTACCATCTCATCTCAGCCCCCCAAATATTGATAAAATGTTCCTCTAACAAAGGGAAATCCAGTGTAAGCCTAGAAATATCAATAAATTCTTCTTACTTTAGCTGAGTGTAATGCCCTCTCCATATGTTGTGTTTAGCAGCTAATAGGTAAACAAGCGTTTGCTATAAACCCTCTAGTTTGATAGGTAATGGGATTCCCCCTTCCTACTCTAGTTTCCAGGTGTGTCTGATTGATGGTAGACCTCATCACGCTGTGCCATTTTTTGTCCTGGGAGGGTCTCTTGGAAGCTGAATCTTGTAGCCTTTGTACTTATTTTAGAGTTGTTAGGTAACAGCAGAAAAAAGCTCACTCAGCTTCTTCAAAGAGTATGTTCATGAAATCATCCATTCCAGACTGAGCCATGCTATTTGCTCCATGGCAAATGATCAATCTATAAAGCTGGACAATAGCTATCACATAATTACCTCTGTTGAAAGGAAACAAATTTGAATAAACCCTAAAATATATTTGTTCTTCTTTCCAAGTAGGAAAGGCATTCATTCAGTTATTGACTTACCGACTGGTTTCTCGCAGGCAGATGGGTAACAGGCACAATGGAAGGTTGGTCCTTAAAGGCATAATTGAATGTTCTGTGTTGCTTCTATTATGACCCTTGGAGCTCTTCTCTAGGAGATGCGAGAAACTGTACCTACAACACCTCCACCTAAACTTGCCCACAGATGCTGGTATTTCTCTCTGGATCTGCTATTGTATAAATGCAGGGAGCAGCTGTTCTGCCAGTACCTGGCAGCTTTGAACCTGGGCTGTTGATGATCTTCCCTGGCCCCTCTACAATTCAAACCTAGTGCAGCACTACCAAACCTTCAACCAACAGCTTGCTGAGGAAAGGATTTGTAGATGGCCCATCACAGCCTGAAGAATTCAGAACCATCTGAGAGGTGGTACAGAGCTAGAAACTGCTTTAAATTTATATGTCCTTTGCAAAATAAATCTGAAATGCCCACATTCTCTTTACTGTATTAAATTTGAATAATGATAGTTCTTCCTTAGGTGACTAGCTTTTAGTATCTTTGCAACATTTTTTTAACCACAGCCAAGATAGCAAGGAGTGTTTTTTCTGCCTCTCTGCTGTTCTGCTTTCTGGTCGGTCTTGTGACATCCTGACCAGTGACAAGGCACATGCGGGATGGGATTATTGATGGTGCTGCCCTGAGTTTAAATGGGAAATATCACTTCATTATGAGATCTCTGGTGAGCCGGGCAAAAGCCCAGGACTCCTTTCCTCCCTCTAAGTCCAAAACCAATCAGGATCTGACCACACTCCAGAAGGAAGGGCAGGAAGGGAACACCCGGGGGCTGGGTCAGCCTATCACGTCAGCCACATGGGCCCACGGTCACAGCCAGAGCCACAGCCTCAGAGTAAAGGGTAAGGAGTCTGTCCGCCGGCAAGGGTGACCCACACGTCCTGCAGTTTGACCTCAAGACTGAGGAGGTGCTGGCAGAGTAGGAGGGGCAGAGAGCCTCCTTCCCCAGGAGGCCAGCTGTTTATAAGCCCTGAGCCCTGCCTGTCTTCTAGGCCGAGTTCCTCGGGGGCAGGGGTTCGGTTGTGTTTGTTTCTATGTCCCTCAGTGACAGAGTCTCTAGCACACACTGGGCACTTTAAGACTGCTATTTTGATTCCTAAATTAGTAATGAATGTAGAGTATCTGAAACATATTTGACTTTGGGACGACGTACCTTTGGAACATATGGTACCAGTGCTATAGATTCCAAGTATTAAATGGTATTCTACGCATTGTAGATTGAGAAACTTACAACACTAAGCTTATGTTATGGGAAGATACAGACTCCATCCGAGTATAGAGGGCCCGTCAATGCATATTAAGGGAACAGTCGTTTGAGCTGAATATTTTAAATAGTCCACATTCATTACAGAATTGGACAAAAGTGACTATAGATTGCATGATGTTCTTGTCCAGCAGAATTCCTGAGATTTATCTTGTGTATTTTTAAGGACTTACTCCAAAACACCATTTTCTCACTTGTTATGGACAGAGGGTCAGAATCCCCTAAATACAAGACAAAAAGAAAAAAGTTGAGGGAGGTGGAAGGAAGTAAGGGTTGGACGGATGGATAGAACCTCAGGGAAGGCAGCATAGCCTTGCTTATGACCTTAGATAAAACAAGAACCTCAAGTGGAAAAAAATTGAATTATCCTGGTGAACTTAGGCCAAGAAGAAAAAAAAATGACAGACTCTTGGGGAAGAAGGTGAGAAGCACAAACTGGTGAGAAAATAGAGAGGAATCTGCTTCAGTGTTTTAGAATGTTCTCCCTCCCTAACCTGGTAAAGCACGTACTAGAGGAGCGGCGCGCTAACTGCTCTGATTTTCTGGTATTACTGATGAAGGAGGAAAGTGCAGTGATGCTGGGGAGATTCGTTTCCACCCGGTTCCATTTTATATCAACATCCAAGGATGTGGGGGACCGGTTTCCAGCCCTTGGCCAGGCTCTCATGGCGGCTACTTGGGTTTTGCCAGGTGTTCATCGTGGGCTACTCAGTGACGGCTGGGGCCACGGGAAGACTCCTCTTCGGCTACGACAGCTTTGGCAACGTGTGTGGCAAGAAGAACTCCCCAGTAGAAGGGGCCCCTCTTTCGGGGCAGGACATGACCCTAAAAAAGTAAGTTTTCAAGTAAGTCCCCAACCTACAGAGGGGCTAGATTTCAAAACTTTGTATAAATTAGTCGTTTGAGCCTGGAAACTGTTTTCCCACTCAAAACCCTGTCCGTCCAACTCGTGAGAGGGAGACGTGTGTGGTAGTAAGGACACAGGTTTTAGAATCAGCCAGTCCTAAATTGAAATTGGGCAGAGTACTTAACCTCTCTGAGCTGAGTTTTCATCTTTTTAAACTGGTTATTAGACCCACCTCACAAGATTGTTTTAAGGATCCACTGAGACACTGCATGAGCTAAGGCTTAATAAATGTTAGTTGTCACTATTATTATCCATAATGTATCAGAATCATGTTACTAATTATACACCATCCACAGTATTGTTTCTGTGTGGAAATACCTGAATCCCACCTGGGAATGCTGGGGACCTGTGTCCCACTCCCTCCCCAGCCTACACTCTCAGCTACGGCACTCTCAGCTTTGGTGTCTCACTTTTCTCCCACTGACTCCAACACAGAAACAAAAAGGGGAGAGAAGAGACAGGAATCCCCTGAGGGGAGAGAAATCCCTGGCCATGATTTTCTAAGATGGATGCAGCTTTGTGATAATTTTAAGACTTGATAATCAAAAGCAGCTCCTAGGAAAGAAATCTTAAAGGTCTAGATAGGTCCTGAGTATAAGTTTGGAATCACCAAATACAAATCTCCGACCAGGCCTCCTCTACCCCTGAATTTGCTCTTGAGGAGGGGCGCTTTGCACTGCTGAACATGGACTGCCTGAGGGGCATTTCTCCCTGCACTTGTGGGTGTCACTCACAAAGAAGACAGGAGAGGAAGGGGCTCCCTAGATGCACCTGTGCTCCCGTTTAGACATTGTATTCATAATGCAATGCTGGTAAATAGTCATCCTCTTTGAAATGAAAAGTACATATTTTATTATTCTCAGTAGCCAAAAAGTAGAAGCAACCAAGTGTCCATCAGCAGATGAATAAATAAACAAAATGTGTATATATATATACTGGGATATTGTTCAGCCTTATAAAGGAAAGCAGTTATGACACATGTTACAACATAGATGAATCTTGAGGATACTATGCTAAGTGAAATAAGCCAGTCACAAAAAGATATTTTATGATTCCACTTATATGAGATATCTAGAGTAATCACATTCATAGAGACAGAAAGTAGAATGGTGGTTGTCAGGGTTTGGGAGTGATGAATTATTATTAAATGGGTACAGAGTTTCAGTTTTGCAAGATGAAAAGAGTTCTGGGTGGTAGTGATTGCTGCACAGCAATGTGAATGTTCTTAATGCCACTGCACACATAAAAGCTTCAAGATGGTAAAATTTTATGTGTATTTTACTACAATTTTTTAAAATTAATAAGTAGAATAAAGTACGTATTTATCATACACCTAGGAAATCTGTTCCCCCATCTCCTGTTACACCACCCACCGTTCTCCCAAACCCAATTGGAGGAAAAAGAAGCTTCTGGCACCCCTTCTCCAGTCCCTCCCCTGGAGGACTGCCTACAGGGCTCTTGGTCTGACATTCCTCTGATCTCAGCAACCAGGTTAAGTGTAGGGCATGGGCCTGAGAGCTGCCACTGCCAACCAGCATGTGATCCTGTTAATGTCAACAACCAGTTTTGTTCTTGTGCCCAGTGGCTGGGCAGCTGCAGCAGGAAGGGTCTCATGAGTTTCCTGTCTCAAACTGGGAGGCAGGGGGAGGGGTAAGCCTTTAATTCACAGCCTCGGTCTCCTACTCACCACTTCTCACTTCCCTGGGTTCAGCTATTCTCTGAGGTATAATTGAACACTCTTGGGTGCAAGTATACTTTCTGTGGACTTCATGAGTAGTTCATGCACTGACCTCACCTAGCAAACCAGGGACAGTTTAATCAGTCCTTTCCCTTCCTCAGTGACTTCCTCGGAGAACTCCCTAGTGTTAATCAACATCCCAGAAAATGCTGAATCTGGAAAAGGGGAGTTTTGTTAACATTTGAATATGGTTCCCAAGCTGCACGACTCCGTAGATGAACCCAGGTAGGCATAATACATGTTAAATTACATGGAAGTATTTGATGATGAAAGTTTGCCTTAATTATTCCCACATTTGACAGCGTGTGGATATTTTTAAGTCCCACAATCAAACTCAATGACAGGAAATGCTCTACGACATTCTTCTCCTGTTTCATTTGTCTCCTAGACACGTGTTTTTTATGAATTCCTGCAACCTGGAAGTCAAGGATGTGAGGTTCAGTTCCACCATTCTCTGTGTGTCCAGCTGTCCTGAAGAGCAGCTTAATACCCTGGAAGAGGTCCAGCTCTTTGCAAACACTACTGGTAGGTACCGAGGGATGGGGTCACTCTTCCTTCTGAGGCTGGGGACCACAGCAGGGTAACCTGTGCAGACCTAGATAACTTGCCCTGCCCTGGCTTTCTCTGCAAAACTGGAAATTGTCCTTCCTGTGACTGCCTCTCCTTGTGTAGAAAGGGCCATAAACATTTTCTCCTGAGCTGTTCAATTTCATTCAGGTTTATCTGGAATTCATCTGAAACCCTAGCTGTTCTCTGCTAACTGCCAGGGACTGGTCTGCCGTAGAGAGCGGGAGGAGACAGCAGACATTTAGGGCCCAAAGACAAGGTCAGATGGAGGTCAGAGAGCTCTGTGCACTTGGCACATCCAGTCCTAGAGAGGCACCCACAGGCTTTGGGTTGAATTACCGACAGGTATGTTCTTTCATTAAGATGTTCGGGCCATGGATAGTTTCACTGACCAGTGGGATAGCCTTAAGCTGTTCCAAAAGCATTTGTGTAACTTGCTCTGAGCCTGCTTTTCAGATTTATATTTTAAGCGTTAAATAAGCAAAGGAAAGTAAAAAGAAATTCGAGACAACCCACTGCAAATTTCATCTGCCTATGAAATGGGGTGCCAGAGTTTTAAAAACTGTTTGCAAGGCTGGGTTAAAAATATGAAGCCTATATAATAATTCATCTTCCCATCGTTTTAGTACCTATCGTATAACTTTCAGTTTTGAATTTGGCATTTTGGAGAGAGAAAAAGAGAGGACCTAGCTCAGTCTCAGTTTTGAGGCTGATTCTTTTTGTCTTACGTCGCCCAGAGACCTGTTTTCTAAACCTGAGTGATTTATTCTGTTTGGTTTTTTTTCCCAGTTTGGTAAAATGACTATGGTTTCCTTACTGGCTCCCCTAGAAAGATAAACACAATGTAGGAAGGTGGTACAGTCTGTGTGTCTTCTGCTTCCAGGGTCCTTCCTGTGTGTTTATAGTTTGAATTCCTTCAACTACACCCAGAATCCAAATGCAGACTCGCTGTGCCCCAGGCTACCAGTTCCTCCAAGGTAAAAGCTTCCATACGTTTTCCTTATCCATTAACAAAAGTTATTGGGTACTTGGTGGGAGGCTGTAACTCTTCTGGGTATCACAGAAAGCAACGCAAAGGAGATATCCAGTAGAGCCCCTGCCTGCGGGGAGCTTACGGTTTACAGAGGCCAGGGATAAACAAGGAGGGGCTATTTGCAATATACATATTGGCTTAGGACAGTGGATTAGAAACCAGGCTAAATAAGGAGAAAACTCAACAAACAGTAAAAATACACGTAGTCTTCAAATGACAACCCTGGAGCTAGCAAAAAGTACTATATGAATTATTACCAAATGAATGATTTTATAAAATGGTGTGTTTTTTCTACTCCAGCTATTTATTGCAAAGTAGAAATCATTTACTTTTGCTTTTTTATTGCAACCAGACATTGTTAGTTTTTTTTAGCTCTAGATTTCTCCATAAGTAACAGGCCTTGGTGGGCAAGGCCAAATGAGTCCACACCTTTCTTCTCAATGAGAATAGAAAACAGGGCAGTACTTGGCACAAAGAAGGTCCCCTATAATTGAAGTTGTAATGGTGAAGCACTTGTTGCACTGCCATGGTAAATGGCTCACGTGTGAGCCATTGAGAAGACTAAGGGGAAAAATGCAATTAATAATCATTGCCACCATCAGGACGCTGAGATGTACTGAAGGAGGACTTGGGTTTATTTTGCATTACCATTCTTTTGAAAATTGTACATATGTTTACAGTGAATGAGACCTCTGTGCAACATCCCTTCAAGATAATGACAATTTAAGTAGAACCAAGGCATCATGCCAGCCCCCTGCTATGGTGTTCATCAAACTCGTGACTGGGATTCACAGTAAGACATGTATTACATCACAACCCCAGTATACATAGCTTCATACATACTTCTGCATATGGAACAGAAATAAAAGTCTCACAAAACAAGACTTCCCCTTACTGCATATGATTCACACTAATAGTTTCTATTCTATTTCACTTTTTTAAAAAGTAATCTATTTCATAATCTTCTAACAGGTTACAAATGCAGCTTGAAAAATGCTGAGATAGCAGGTGCTAAAAAATGAGATTTTTAACAGAATAGGAGAAAGAATATAGTTAACCATCCTTGTGCCCTTCTTTTCTAAAATAAATACTTTGTGTTATAAGTAATTGAAAGAGGGAAGAATTATTTCCAGAGGAGAATGCCATATCATTTTTCTATAATATCTTATTTTTTTAATTCTGATTGTTGTTAGATGTCATAAACATGTCTCAATGAAACGTAACTAAATCCAGGGGAAAAAAACCAAAAATGTTGTAGTAACTTGAAAGAAAATTATTTAACAGGCAGAGAGAAGTTTTTTTTAACTTTATACCCTTTTTCCCTCCCTCCCCTGTGGTGACTACCATTCTGTTCTCTGCCTCTGTGAGATTAACTATTTTAGATTCCACGTATAAGTAATGTAGTGCAGTGTTTGTCTTTTGAGAAGGAGTTTTTAAAGAACACTATTTGTAACTAGACCTGCAGAAGGAATTGGAAGAGAATAGAATTTTTAAGGCTGTAATTTAACCAGAGTTGGATAAACTCTCCTCTTACTGTAAATGGGATGGTAACTGTAATTCCATAGGAAGCTTATATCTTGATATTGATGATGATAACAACAAACATCTACTGAGCTCTGATACTTGCCAGGTACTTTTCTAAGCTCTTTACATGTATTAATTTACTTGGACCTCATAAAATCTCTGTGTTGTGGATATTGTTTCAACCCTATTTTACAGCTGAGAAAGCTGATGCAGAGGTAGGTTAAGGTTGCACAAGTGGAAGAGCTGGCATTCAAACCCAAACAGCGTCCATATTTGTTCCTATAACCCAAAGCAAACAGTCAAGACTTCGTTGGTTTTATTTTGCCTGGCAAATGGCCTCCTTAGGCTCACACCAAGCTTGGGGGGTCGGGGGGGCCGGGAGGACGGTCCTGTACGCTGTGTCCTCGGGGCACCATCTTTTCTACCACTCAAGCCGATCCTACGCCTTTCACCCCTTAAATGCAGACCTTTCCAACACTAACTTTTCAAGTGAAGACAAAACTGCTGATTGACTGGCTTTTCTTGGATGGAGTTAGGGAGATAGAAATAGGCTCGAGGGCTCCATTTCCTTTTCCTACACAAGCAAGCAGTTGTTTTAAGATGGAAATTATCATATTTATCATGGAAGAGCAGTGCCAAGAGTGAAAAGCTTGAAAACATGAGAAGTGTGGCTATACGGCCAAAGCACATTTTCTAAATACCTCTTTTTGACTAAGCCAATTGTTTCTTCTTTCTGGGTTGGTCACGTGAGGTATAACATACCCTTTTAGAGCAATGACTGAATATCAAGAAGATTTGTATACCTAGGAATGAGCTTCTAAGAGCAGTGAAAAAATACTGCGGAAGACAACAAGCAAGCATATCTTTTTCCTTTTGATGTTCAGTGTAATATTTGTATTTTGAGTCCCCCATATATTTAAAATGTAAAAGGCTTGGGCTTTTCCCTCCAGTTAATTCTGTTTCTAGCCTCTCACATTGGTGCCTGTGCATGTCACTGCATTGTTTGCTTGAATAAATTCCATATAGAGAGTCACCTAAATATACAGTCAGCTCTCCAAATTACTTCCAGCATATCTGAGTGGCTTTGCTGGTGGGGAGAGGAAAAGCAGAAGTGGGGAAGAAACCACAGTTTGTGGCCAATAGACACATCCCCTGCCCCAGCTAATGAGGTACTCCGTAGGCAGCTACCTGGTCAGCCACCTACCAGCTAGCTGGTCACCAGGGGTGAACCACACTTTACATGCCTCTCTCCATCACTCTCCGGGGTAAGATGGGTCATTCTTTACCAGTACAGGGAAGTTAAATGCCTAAAAAGCACCATGTTTAACAAACTATGTTGACAAAATTAAGCTCTTAGGGAAAATTATGTTTGGGGGAATATAAAATGACATTGAATCTATATATCTGAACTTATTTTTCAGAAAGTTCAGAAAACATTTTCTTTCAAAACAATTCAGATTCTTTGGTATTAAGACTATTTAGTAAAAGCAAAGAAAAAGAAAACAGAGGTTTAGAAGTTGGAAAGCAGGAGGTAAAATTATTACTCTGTAGGTGGTAAGAAAATTAACTGGAAAGCTACAAATGACAAGAAACTTTGGTGGCAGGGAACAAGATAAATATACTGAAATCTGTAGCATTCCTATGTTTTTTGAAAAGACTCCTTTTACCACAGCAAGAAAAAACACCTACAGAAACACAAAAGTGCCAAGAAATAAATTTAACAAGAAATATACAAGAGCCACAGGAAGAAAACTTTCGTATATTCCTGAGCTACAAAGAAAGCTTGAACAAATCAGAAGGCAGAAATTGTTCTTGACGGTATGACTCAACATTATAAAAATGTCACTTCTCCCTACATTATTAAGATGTTGTTTCTGTCTAAGTTGAGCTATAGCTTTATCATGATTAAAATAAAAATAATAGCAGGATTTTTTCAGTAGCTAGATAAGCTGATGTAAGTTTGCAAGGAAAAAAGTTTCTTAAATGGCCAAGAAAAATCTGAAAAAGGAAAACCAGCCCTTCCAGTTTTTAAAACAATGTTTAATAATTAAAATGCTGGGTACTAGTTCATATGTAGAAAGATCAGTGAAAGATATTATACAATCCAGGAATAGACCCAAATTCTTACAAGAATTTAGTAAATGATTAAAAAAAAAATGGCATCTCAAATCAGTGACAAAAAGATGGACTGTTCAACATGTAGGTTGGGACAGCTGGGTAGGCATCCAGAGGGAACAGCTGGATCTACACTTCGTGGCTTATATGGATAAATTCCAAATGGGTTAAAGATTTTAACTTATAAAGTGAAACCAAGAAGTACTAGAAGGCATGGCAGAATTCTCTTATAGCCTGGAAGTAAGGAAGGCTTCTAACCATGACTTAAAACTCAGGAGGCACAAAATTAAAAATTCATTGACTACATTAAAAGCAAATATTTCTGCATGACAAAACACTAGAAGCAAAATTAACAGGCAAATAAGTTGCTATTCATATAAAAAAGATTAATCTCTAATTTATGAAAGGCCTTACTAGTCAACTTTTAAAAGACCAATATCTCAATATAAAAATGAAAAAAGAATATGAATAGATGCTGCAGAGAAAAAGCACAATATTTTTTAAAGATACTAAAAAAGAATGAACCTCCCTCACGATAGGGTAAATTCCATTTAAGACTCTAATGTTTTCACCCCATAGGCTGGCAACATGTTAAAAAAAACACCCTTGGCAAGAGTGTAGGGA